TAGAGATGACAGTTGAGTTGGGGGCAAGGGAGAAGTCCAGGATAAATCAGAAATTTCAAGCCTGGTGATTGTAATATTGATGGGGTAATATTGATAGGAAAAGGAAAGATAAGAGGAAGAGTGGATTTTGAATGATGATAACAAAGAAGTATACAGAGGGCATTAGATGGTGGGAGGTGAATGTTTGAGAAGTGTATGTTCTAAAAGTGTATGTTCTAAATACATTTTCAAACTATGTATTTTAAATTTTATTTTATTGAGTTATATGCATACAGTAGGTTTCTCCCCTTTTAGTATGTAGTTCTATGAATTTTGAGACATGAACACATTTGTCTAATCAGTACCACAGTCACGATGAGAACAGTTCTATCACCTGAAAATCCCCCCATGCTCCTTTGTAGTCAGCTCCTCCCCAACTCCCCCATCTCCTGACAACCACTGATCTCTTTTATGTCCCTCTAGTTAAAACTGTGTTTTAAAGAGTACTAGGGACCACCACAAAGTAGACTCAGATGATCAAGAGGGCTGAACGCCAAGCCCTCAGCCTTCACCCTTACTTCATTTACACAAATTTTGCTTCTCTGTTTTCTGTTTTATATATTGGCATTTTACTTAATATTTGGGGTGGGCTGGAAAAATTACACAGCTAAATACTCGAAAACTTTTATTCTACAGTGTTACTGCTACCACTCGAGCCGCCATTATCTCTTACCTGGATTTTTGCAGGAGCCTCTGAGTAGATTTCTCTGCTTTGACCTTTGCCCGCTACAGTCTGTTCTCAACAGAGCAGTCAGCATGATCCTTTTACGATGTAGATTAGATTGTGTCATTTTTCTCAAAACCTTATAATGGCTCCCCCTTTAGTAAGAGTAAAGGCAAGTCCTGAGAAGTGACCTAGAAGGACCTGCTTTCTCCTGTTAATTCTCCAGCCTTCTCTTTTTACACTCTCCTCTTTGCTTACTCTATCTGTGCTAATTACCTTGGCCTCCCTTCTGTTCCTAAAACAGGTCAGCCACGTGCTCACTTTAGGGACCTTTGCCTTACCTTGTGGGTTTTTTTTAAATTGAGGTAAAATTCACATAACATCAAACTAACCATTTTAAAGCTTAAAGTGTACAATCCAGTGGTATTTAGTACATTCACAGTGTGCAACCTTCACCTCTGTCTAGTTCTGAAACATTTTCATCACCCTTAGATGAGACCATGTATGCATTAAACATTCCCTCCCACTTCTTCCTCTCCCTACCTCCTCCCCACCCCTGGAAACCACTAATTTGCTTTCTCTCTCTATGGATTTACCTATTCTGGACATTTAATATAAATGGAATAATTTAACATGTGGCCTTTCGTGTCCGGCTTCTTTGACTTTCACATAATATTTTCAAGGTGCATCCACATTGTAGCATGCATTAGTACTTCATTCCTTTTTATGGCCAAATAATATTTCATTGTGGATTTATCATATTTTGTTTATCCGTTTATTCATTCATGAACATTTGGGTTATTTCTGCCTGGCGACTACTGTGAAAGTGCTGCTTGAGCATTCACGTACAGTATTTGTTTAAATATGTCATTTCAGTTCTGTTTGGTATATACCTAGGAGTGGAATTGCTAGGTCATTTGGTAATTCTATGTTTAAATTTTTGAGGAACCACCAAACTGTTTTCCGCAGCAGCTGAACCATTTTACGTTCCCACCAGTTCTTCATCTCCTTCAAGTTTTCACTCAGGCTTCATCTTCTCAACGAGATACCCTGACCACCCTATTTAGTCCTGTGACCTGCTTCTGTCCCCACTCTTGCCTTATTATCCTTCTTTCCCCCCTTTACCCTACTTGCGTATTTCCCTAACGTAGTCTCTTTTTTAGGCACGTGCAGTAATGTTTCGTTATACTTAGTATTACCTCTTACACATAGAAACTTACTGTTTCCTAAGTCATAGAAGCTGCTCACCTTAGCAGTCCATTAGACACCTGTTACTCACTGCAAGGGTATACGTAGTTAGCCTTAGAAAAACTGTATTTCATGTGTTAATTAAAACTCGGTGCACAGTGGTTGAGAACCCTGCTTTATCATCTGTTGAGTAACAGGGTTGAAACTTCATGATTGGAATTAGTTTGTTGCTTGGGCTTCCTTCAAAGCCATCTCACCAGTATAGCAAATTATACATGATTTTCATACTTCAATAATGCAAATTATATTTTTCAGCCTAGCAACATCAACCTCTGTGGGGAGACTGAACACATCCTAAAATGTGTTTTTGTTAAACATGGTCAAGGATGTCTTTTCTGCCTGTAACACAACTGGAGAGTAAGGGCATGACTATGTTTAAGCTGTTTCTCTAAGTCTCTCTTCTGTAAGGGAAAGA